TTTCCTCGAAGCTTCTCATCCGTTGCCAGCTTGATTCTCTCAAGGAGTATCCTGTTGAAGACTTTCCCAGGTATGGAAAGGAGTGTAATGCCTCTGTAGTTGTTACAGTTGCTGAGGTCTCCTTTCTTTGGCAGCTTGATTAGGTGGCCTTCCTTCCAGTCTGATGGTATTTCCTCCTTTTGCCAAACTTTTTCAAATAGAGCATATAGAATTTCCACAAACGTATCTTTCTCTGCCTTAAGGGCTTCCGGTGGTATATGGTCGGGACCAGCTGCCTTGTGGGACTTCAGTGTTTTTATAGCCGCTGCAATTTCCTCTCTTGAAGGTGGTTCCGTGTCTATTGGGTGGTCCTTTCTGGCTGGAAGAATTTCTGGTTGGTTTTCTGGAGGTGGTCTGTTCAGTAGTTGATCAAAGTGTTCTCTCCATCGGTTAAGTTGCCCCTCTGGGTTGAAGATAGTCTTTCCTTCTTTGTCTTTCACTGGTAGAGTGGGCTTGCTGAACCTACCTGAAAGAGTTTTTGTAGTCTGGTGTACAATCCTCAAGTGCCCATCTGTTGCTGCTTTCTCTGCCTTTTCGGCCAGGCCATTCAGGTAGGTATTCTTGTCCTTCTTGATGGAATTCTTTACCTTCCGGTTTACTTCAGTGTACTCTTGTGCAGCGAGTTTCTCAGTTCGGGTACGGCTGTTGTTGACTTGGGCCTCCAGTTCTCTTCTTCTTTTGACTTTGTCTGGAGAGTCCTGTGAAATCCATTCATTCCTGGTGTTGTCTTTGGGTCCTAGGGTGTTCTGGCAAGTTGCATTTACTGCCTCTCTTAACTTATCCCAGTGTTCGTTGACTTCAAATTCATCCAAATCTTGAAGGGCTTGATATCTGTTCTTCAGTTCCACCTTGAACTTATTATTCTTTACTGGGTCTTTCAGAAGGCTAACTTCATACTTTAGACGATTTCCAGCGGCGACTTATGCATATCTTCTCAGTTTTAGTTTCAGCTTTCCAAGGATCAAATGATGGTCTGATGCGACGTCTGCTCCTCTTAAGACTTGGACGTCCTCCAGTGAGCGTCTAAACTTTCGGGAGATGCAAAAGTGGTCGATCTGGTTTTCCGTTGTTCCGTCCGGGGAGACCCAAGTGGCCTTGTGAATCTTTTTTGTGTGGGAAGATTGTACCTCCAATGACCAAGTTGTTATGTACTGTTTGTTTACTGTTTTAGCTCAGCACTCTTTATGTTCATTTTAAGACACATTTCTGTGTGGATTATACTGAAAAGCATAGATCAAATGCAAAAATAGTTAAATAAATAAAAACAATGCAGTTTCCAAGACCGCCCAAGCTTTGGAAATCACCAAACCTTTCATCCATTTCCTAGCTAATTTAACCTTAAAAACCAAGCGACCCTCATTTTCAAATGCCTCAACTTCTATTCAAGATAGATGAATATTGTTTTGTGTCAAGAGCAAGACATTTAATCAATCTTTATGATTATACCAACAACTTCACCTGCTTGAAAATTACCGAGAGCCTGGTTCCACCGTGCTGTGACTCAGATAATGGCTAAGGGTGGGCGTTGTATAGTCTGAAACCCCTGTCCTCTGCATCGATCTATAATCGTATGTTGTTTGGCGTCGGTGCCTTGGTGGTTTTACGGGGTGCCAACTACGGCTGGATTGAGCCGATCGCCAGACTCGGTCGCCTGAAACTGGGAATGGATACCCGGCCATAGAGAGTGAAAGATCTTGTCAGTATGTTAGTGTTTATAAGCGCCCATAAATGGCCGCTTGCACTGTATGCTTCCCAGAGACTTGAGGTTGTTTCAGAATGCTCTCAGGTCTGCGGGTGTAATAGTATTGATTGTGAAACGCATAGAGCTTGCTATTTAGCGGGGATTAGCGCTATACAGTTAATGCTGTCTATTATTATTATGATTATTATGATTCTGTCAGAAACACCTTTTAAAATAATTACCTCCCTTCATATACTTATTTCTTCTTTAAAACTTTGTAACCTATAACAGTGTTCTTAAACCCCAGTCAAGTAATATAAATTATTACAGTAAAATGTCGACTATTGTAGGAAATCAAAAAGAATTAATGTTTTTATTATTGCCTTAGTGAAAAAAACTGGATGAACAAAAACAAATTGATGTTGAATGATAACAAAACAGAAGTCATTCAGGCAGGCTATGCAAAGACTGTTAAAGAGGTTGACCACGATCACATGACAATTACATTTTCAAGAAAAGTTAAGAATCTTGGCATCTATTTGGATTCCAGTTTGTCAATGTCGGCTGAAGTAAACCATCTGATCAGCTGCATGTACATATGTGTATTTAGAAATAAGAAAAATTAGTAAAATACGTCATCTGATCAATACTAAGTATACTGCTTTACTAGTAACCAGCTTAATTTTATAAAAACTCGATTATTGTAACTCCTTGTTATCAGGAATATCACTGGAGAAATTTAAAAGACTTCAAACTGTCCAAAACAATGCTGCACGTTTAGCTTTACGGAAAAGAAAGCGAGTTTCAGGTTGACCTCTTTTACAAACTTTGAATTGGCTTCCTGTTGAGAAAAGGATTGTGTGCAAGTTGGCCACCCTATGTCACAAATGTTTGAATGATAATGCACCATCATATTTTTCAACTCTGTTAAGACTGTACATTCTAACTCGCAGATTAAGGTCATCAGCTGACAAAAAGAACATTAATTTAATCAACTATGAAATTTAAAACAATGTGTGAAAGGACATTTGAATACGAAGGCCCCAAGATCTGGAATGCTTTACCAAGTACCGTAAGAGAGATCAAATCTTTTGATTCGTTCAAATGTCAACTGTAGTTGTTTCTGTTTCTAAATTAGTAAGATGAATATTTGGAATAATTGTCTTTAGTCAGAACACAACGTGTTATGTTACTGCTGTACGTTGTACTGTATTGTTAAGCGCTTAGAGCCTGTGTACTTTAATCGGGGTTGAGAGCTATATAAATGTTATTTATTATTATTATTATTATTATTATTATCAATACGTCGTTGACAGTCTAAAACGCAGAAAAAATCATAAGAAGACAAGCTTTCTAGTTTTACCAGGGCAACAAACTCAGTATCTCGGAGGTGAGAATACATCATCGCCTGAGTACAACAACCGTTAAACCTCACTATGTAAAAAAACAACACTCTTTTTTGTTGCTTTCTTGTAACATTGCGGATTTTGTGTCAAATTTTTAGACACGTTACTCGATAAACATTGCCAGTGCGACATTCAGACTTTAATTTTTAACAAAGATTGTTAAATGAATTAACAACATGTTTTCTTTTTCGTGTAATATTTTGTGTGTGGCATACACGATTGTTGTACTCTGGCGTCGACAGTATCTTATTGTAATAATATTGATTACTTTTTTTTAAACATGCTCCCGGCATTCTTTCGTCTCCACAAAGCTGATCGAAGAAAATTCCTAAACGGTTTGCTAAAAAAGGGCAAAGGTACAATTAGTAGATGACAGCTTTGTTGTATTCCTATCCCACGCAATTGTCTCGTTTCCAAACAATAAAAGTATAATAAAGCTCGTATGGCATCGATTGCCTTTCGTTCTTTTTATCTGCTGACGTCAATAGAAATTTTTTTTTATATGCTTTTAACTTTAAATTCTAGTTCACGTAGCCAAAGCTCAACTCACGTTCGTTGAACCGGTAAAATAAATGTATGTGAATAATATAGATGAAACTTTCTGATTTTACGGCTGATATACGAAGGATATCCCCTGTTGTCGTCATATATCGTGTTGAAGATAAAGAATAAGAGAAAAAGACGGGGTGCCAGTAGAAGTTGAGATGGTTTTTATATATTTTTGTCTATCATTTTATTTAATTATTCATTTTAAAAATATTTTGTAAAAACTATTTCTGCTACTTTTTCAAAATCAGTTCTTATATTTTGTATTTAGGGGGGGGGGGGATGTTTTGTTTTGGGGTAGTTGTTTTGGTTGATTTTTTTTCTTGGGGGGTGGGGCGGCAGTGAGAGTTAAGGAAAAAATAAGAACTTACTTAAATATAGGGATTGTCACTCGATATGAGCTAAACAAGAACTGAGTAAATTGATTATTTACACAAAGAAAAGTTCAAATCATTAAGAACTCTACCTTAACGAAAAAGAAGAAAGAGTTGGGGAGGTAATGAGAAATCTGGAAGCAAACCACGGGGAGTGTGGCTGGAGAGAATCAATGAGTGCTAACAAGACTGCGATATTCCAGGCTCTGTAAATATGTCGTAGCAAATTTCCTAGAAGACTAACAGGCACACTTACAGCTCTGGGGGTGGCAAAGTACAATAAACTGTTGACCCTCCCCCCACCCACAACCACCACTCCCCCCCCTCACACACAACGACCGCACTCTAAGGGTCGGATGTGACAGCGGCCTGGATTGTATGGGTGGGGTGGGTGGTGCAACTTCACTTTCACCACATATCGTCGACCAGCTGCTATTCAGATGTACCGGGCTCGAAAATTAAAATGGTATGGGCATGTCACAAGATCCACAGGACTTGCCAAAACAATCCTACAAGGAACCGTACAAGGAAAGAGAAGAGAGGAAGGCAGAGAAGGAGATGGGAAGACAACATCACAAAGTGGACTGGGAAAACGATGGGTGACAATCTGAGGAAAGCAGAGGATAAAGTGCAGAAAGAAATGGCGAGAGCTGTTGTCAGATGCAGTGATGCCCCCGCGGTTGCCTCAGCCACGGGATAGAAGAAAAAGAAGAAGATCAATAGCATGACGTGCTGAATATTATTATTCTTAAAAAGAAAAGAAGAGATTGTAATAAAGTAGGCCCAATAGTTAAAAGATGAAAAGGGTAGGAGTTTTTGTTCCCGTTTTAAACAGTTTGCAGACGGTATTTCTCTCTGACAACTTAACTTTACGATATTCGGCACTTAAATGACACAATGTGTTGTAAGTGTCCTAGACGTCTACTAATACAAAATAATTTTATGAATCCACAG